TGTGTGACGCGGGGGTTCGATTCCCAGAATAAACATTCACTCCTTCAGTGTTGCAGATACGCCTTACTGACTTGTGAGTGGCAACTAGCACGAAGCCTAGGTGTGGCCAAGACGTCCTGCCAATCGCCTCCAACCACCTAGTATCATCAAAGTCCCTCACTCTGTCGCTTATTTATCAACAAGCGGTCGCTAATTATCGTAAAAGAAAACCAAATAAAATACTGATTACACACTGCATTTACCGAGTTATTTGTTTTGCTATTTAACACAGACAAAGTCATTAATCGGGTTCAATATACAATGCGCATATAAGCAAACCATGCACTACTATAAACATAATGATTCAATTGTTAAAAGTGATAATATACAGGCAGGTATCTCACCTACTGTGAGAAGTATATATATATATATATATATATATATATATATATATATTCATATACATATAGACATGGTCTACATTTTATGCTATGCAGAATAAATGTTACGTTTAAGTGATTCATCCTATCATTGAATACTGAACAAACATATATGCATTCATAGGCAAATAAAAGTGTACATTATTTATTACTGTTTTTTTTTAATTATACATATATATTAAAAATAGTCGGAAAAATGCTTGTAGTTAGCTTTCTTTTCTTAAAGAGAATATTTAACCTTTTCATAAATAAAATAAAGCTATGTGTACACTGTGTCCAACTAGCCTATTAATAATCCTCATTTGAATGTTTCTGTTACTGGCAGTTTTAATAGGAATAACACCAATAATAATAATAATAGTTACTAAAACAACTGTACCACTTCTTTGTACTATTCGCATGTAGTACACAGAATAATTGTTCAGCCTTTCGTTTACCTACCTCTTGTTATTATTTAATATTTATTTTTTGTTATTTTATACATGAATGTATTACAGAAATAGAAATGCCTTTTTGAATCCTACGCCTTAAAGTGGATATCCTAGTTCGAAATTTATAGTGCTTACTGAATTTATTCTATTGTCTTTGAATACTGATTCAGCTGATATGACTACTGGGACTACTGACTTGTGATGATGAAGAATGTCTACTGCAGCCTTCTTCTTCGCTTAAAAAGAAGATTTGATGAAGGTTAGATGAATGATACTTGCCTGGATAAAGATTCCGTCAAATCTGAATTATATTCATCATCATAAGGATAAGTAAGAGAAATATGACAGAATTGAAGAAGTTTAGACAATCAGCGACCACTTAACCTCTAATTTTGTAGTTTTTTTTAACTCTTGAATCTTACTAACTGTTCTTTATTACCCCCACCCCCCACCCCAACCCCCTTAGTCTTTCCTGGGTAACTCAGAAAGGACTATGTCATGCTGAGAAGGGTAACAAAGGTTGTCAGTAGAGCAATTAGTGTGTGGTCCCATTAAGTCAGATTGTTATCTAGTGTAGTTGACAGACACCTGAACACTCATGTGAGAAATGGTCTAAATCCATATATATATTGTCTGACTCTCAACATCCCCTCGTTATTCTCAACTCTTTCCTTGAATCTCATCAGGTAGGAGGACGAAAGCTCAACGGTACTCTATTTGGTCTGCCTGCGTTCTGTGTTGTAGAGATAGTATTAGGTGTAAAACTTGCAATTTATTGTGTAATTAGCAAAGCAGTTAACTCTTTTACCTTGTCCTATTTGTAATATTTGGTGACACTATCTCAATTAACTTGTAATTCTAGTTATTAATACTGTTATTATCACCTTTTTACCTCTTGTATATTCTTGAATTTTTTGTCCCTGTTAATACCCTGTAATATTTTGTTTTTGTTTAGCCATTGTTGAGTAAATTAGATGCAATATTGTACCAAATGCCGAGAATTCCATTTTTTGTTTGTCATAAGTACTTTTGCTTTAGAACAAAGCAAATCATTGTTGTTGTTATTTATTATCGCGTCTGTGCCACAGCGATAGAATACTCGGCAAACACGCAGGTATTTCGGTGTTCCATCTCCGGCTACAGATGCATTCCTACACCGCACTAGGTCAGTAATAAGACTGGCGAAGAGGTAAGGTTGGGTATAAGGCTAGCAACGCCGTTTTTTTCCCTTCTCGTTCCCAGTGGTACATAGGGCTCCAACCTAAAAGCTTGACGTTTCTGTAGGAGTCGTGTTTATTTTTACAGGATGGTGTTCCTAGCCTCATGCCCAACCTTTCCTGTTTGCCAGCTTTATTACTGGCTTATCGAGGAAAAAGATTGCGTATGTGGCCGGGAATCGAACCCCGGACAATGTGCATGGTCGGCAAGAGTCCTAACCACCACTGTGCCACCGATGCACTTTTATCTTGATCACATATGATTTATGCATGTTTAAAAAGAAATAGAAATATTTTAAATCATGTTAAGTGTTAGGACTAAAAGTGAGTGAGTGATACTCTTTGTATACCCTCCATTGAAACTTGAACAAAATAAATCTAAATTAGGAAGAAGATTGACAGAGGAAATTTAACAATAATAACAGTGACCTGCTCTATTCCGAAAACAGTACTTATAAAACAGTATTAGTTTTCCAGCATTTTTCACAATATTGCATTGGATTTACTCAAAATATAAGTCAAATTCACCACAGGCGCATTTCCACATTTACAGTAGGAAAGATGTCACAAATGTGCAAGATATTATTATTGAAATATCCTTTAATTCCTAGAGGAAATTAAGGCCTCCGCTGCGCACCTCCATTGCCTTCCGTTTACTGCCAACATTTTCACTCCGCTCCAAGTCTGACCACATGCTTTCATCTCCTCCTCACATCACCTCCTCACATGACCTCCTCCAAGTCACCCCACCCACACACTGACGACCAACTCACCGCTTCCCCCTCAGTCGGGTTCCACTCGAGCAATGGCTTGTCTAGTGATGTCACTTGATGGTTTGTTGTCTCAGAGTATGACCAGCCAATCCATCTCCATTTCTTCCTGCTTATTTGTTGCACAATCGGTTCCTGCTGAGTTGGTTCGCTGATTGCCAGAGATCTTTGTTGCTGATCTTTTCTGGCCGGCCATCTGATCTTGAGTTGTGTTGAGCGAAGACAACTGTAAATGAAGGTCTGTAGTTTGTTTGAGATGCTCTTTATGACGCTCTGGCCAAGTCTCTGATCCGTATGGTAGGTAGCACTGACTGACTTCACATTGGAGTTGCAAATCCGGATGTTATTTTTGATGGTGAGTTCTGTTGATCTCCTCCACACAGACTTGAGAGTAATGAAAGCTTGTCTTACTTTTCCGATTCTGGCTTTGACATCCTCGTCAGTTCCGTCCGCCTGTAGTTGTGACGACGCTTCCCAGGTAGGAAAGATGTCAAAAATGTGCAAGGTATACTATGAGAATATAAAACTATGATAATAATACTGATAATAACAGTAGGTTTGTTTCAAATAATATTGTGGATTGTGCGTCGGTGGCACAGCGGTTAGGAATCTCACCGGCCTTAAACACAGTCGGGGTTTGGTCCTCGGCCGATGCACACCTGATATCAATGGTTGGTCTACAAATTTTCGGCTACCGATATCACATGGTGGAAATTCCATACTTGTACCAAAAATACGTTGTGAAATCAAGCTACGATCAAAAGTATAGAAAAAAGTTTTTGAAAATATTGAATCTGATGTTCTCTTCACATAGCATGATGACAGGAAAAACAAAATATTAATGAATCCCGGTTGATAGGTACCGCAATGCATACACCTTGATATAGTCATACAGTAGAATGGATGGAGTACGGTGAAACTTTTAAAAAGTGATGTTGTTAGGTGGAGAGTGAAAGATTAATTACCAATTCTTCATCCACTGAAACAACACTAATTGATAAAACGTCAATACAGGATATATGAAAAGTCACGATAAACATCATTGGGAAGTAAGACTATTATAAAGCAAAATTATAAGGCTTTGTGAATACACTGTGTGGTATTTCAAACGAACTTATCTTATATGGGATGTTAAAAAAAGTAAACAAACGCTTGGCATATTCATTTACAACATATCCACTAGAATGGTTCAATAATTGGGGAACACTATCATCATTAAAGGTCCATTTTATTCTACTTTGGGGTCATTTTGAAATGGGCATACCCTCCCCTCCATGTATATTAAATGAGTTATTTTAAACTTGACCACCGACTGATAACAGTTAGAGGACCATTGAAAACCATCCGGGAGTACTGGGGAGTTGGTTCATTAGCCTAGTTTGGATCTCATCGGAAGTACGCACACACCGTCAAGGTTCGAACCCAGAACCTTCTGGTTACAAGGCCACCGAGCTCTTAGACCACTAAGCCACTGGGACCCAATGTAATGGCCAGCCCCGGAAATCCCAACTTCTACCTATTCACGACATAGCGCTAGGACTTCACCATGTCTTCTTCGATGAGTTACGGCTCCAACTTCAACCTGATATACCCTACTGGTCACGACTTCTCACTAGAACCCCAGGTAACTACCTACTTGAATAGGACCAGTCGCTAACGAGCATTACGTCAATTTTCAAGCTTTGGATTTGTAGGGATTTTCTTTTGTTGGTTGGAGGATTACATCCTGAGCTGACAGCAGTTAGAGAATCATTGGAACCTCGGTCGACGTGTACTGGTGAAGAGTCCCAAACTAGGCTAATGAAACAGCTGTCTAGCACTCCCAGTTGGTTTTCCAGTGGCTCTCTAACTGATGCCAGCTCATGTTGAAATCCTGCAACCAATCAAACAAAATCCGTACAAAACCAATACTTGAATATATTTATAGATTTAGTTTTTCAGTTTCTTTAATTCCCTGTTGATTCACATGAAGTATAAACGACTAATAATATATTATCAATGCAATATAAGATACGATTCTGTTGTTCCTTCATTTAGGAACGTTTTATTGATACAAAGACGCAGAGTAGTTGACATTCACTAACACACTATAGTGTTAAAAATAATAATAATGAAAGTAATAAAATCACATTCATTAAAATTGTCTGTTTAATTTCATTTCAGTTAATGGAAGCGAATCAAAAGTTGGTTTGTAAATGTCATGGTGTAAGTGGCAGTTGTGCTCAACGTGTCTGCTTCCGTCAACTTCGCCGTATCGATACTGAGGTAATGCAGAAAGCGTTGAAAATGAGATATTTGGTAAGTCATGAGAAAATTTGTATTGTATTACAACACTGTCTGGGTGTGTAGACATGTACAATAATATCCTTGTCTTTGAAATGAACTTCCTTATTATTTTTGCAATGTGCTTTATTCCTCAATTAACTCATTTGCAAAGCTTAATATTATTTATTTATTTATTCATTGGTTTGTTCATCCTTTCCATTACATGCCCATTCATGTTATTTGTTAGTTTTGTTGATGGTTTTGAACGTGGAATTTATTTAGTGATAGGTTTTTAAGACAACTGTTTCGTCATAGTCTGGGTCTCTTCGGTGGTACGTATCTATTTGGATTTGAAACCAGGCCCTTCCGGTTACAAGGTTAGCCTGTGGACCATTCAGCCAGTGAGTCCCGATTCAAAGGACCATGAATTCCTTTATGTATCAAGAATTCACACAAGTTGAAACTCATGGGCCATTGGAACCATTTAGTCTCAGTGGTTGAATAGCCAACAAGCTCACCTTGTAAGCTGAAAGTCTTTGGTTCACTCCATAGTGGGTTCGTGGATGCGTGCTTCGGAAGAGTCTTAAGCAAAGATGAAAGCACTGTCCAGTACTCCCTGGTTTCTAGTAGTTCTCTAAGTGGTGTCAGGTTGTGATCAATAGTGGAATGTTTACTGAAATGAAATTCACTTGCATGAATGTTAAGGGGTTGTATAATACTAATCCATAAGAATTATGTCTGTTAGCTTCGATGCATAAAAGAAACTGACACCTCAGATACATGTAAACTTACATACACAATTAGAGCTAATATCACTGTTATCATATCCACCTCTGACCTCTTGAATCAAGTTGTCTCAGTCACCTAGACTGCTGACTGTTTGCATAGCTGGTAGGATTCCCGATGAACTGAAATTCAGAAATCAACATAGTACCTTAAATGATACTTGAGTATCAGTAGTTCCATGGTAGATTACTCACCAATTATGTCTTGGGTATGATTTTGACCACAGCTTAACCTCACGTAGCTGTTACTAAGTCGTGTAAAAGCAGAAAGTCGGGTGTGTAGCTGGCAACCATAACTCGTAAAACAAGCACCGCTGCTACTGAACCTTTAAAGTTCCTGCTTGAAGCATCACATCCTACTTGGAACTTGGTGGATTTAAAACGGAAAATAATCACTCAATCTCAATTTAACCTGAAGTAAAGACTACAAATGTAAAGTAAAGTAGTAACGCTGCAGTTGAATACTTTACACTAGCCAGGTTTTCAGAATTCTTATTAGCCTGTGTAAAGTAATAAACAATCGTTCTTCCCTTGATTGCTGCATGTTTAACTCTCGTTATAATGGTAAAGTATCGAAACGCCTCGAATAATGCAGACTGATAGAATGAAAGAACTATTATGTGTACACATAATATGTAGTTCATCTAAAGACATGAAATGCTGGGACACACTGAGTCAGTGGTTTAATGGTAAAATGGTAGCCAGCCACACGGGAGGTTCAAATCTAATTCCCAGCTGACACACTTCGATAACTATGCCTAATTTACTATACGGTAGCACGTCCGAGAAAGACGGAATCTTAGGCGCACAGTTAGCAATCGCTTCCTGTAGAAATAACACCATCTCTATTAAAAGTTCAAATCCCAGCTACCAACCTACTTTCCATTTAGAAATCAAGGATTGGAAATAAAGGAAAGAAAAAAAGCTTTAACACCCCAGGTTATGCAGAGCTTCATACACTTATCCCCTCTTAATGAATTTGAATAAAGCAGGAACAACAGTTTTTACAGAATAAAATGGTACCATCATCAGTTATTTCGTTGGCTTTTCATCAGGTGCTTACAGTCGAAAGACATTATTATGATTATATCAACAGAAACAATTTTAACATATTTGCACAGAGTTCACTTTTAAGCAAAAAATCAATCAATCAATATATACATACAATGCTAATGATAATAATGATAATCACTTTACTCTAAACAACAATAATCACACTTAATGGAAAAAGAAGAATAAAACATCCTATTATGAGGGCAAGGAAATTATTATTATTACAATATCCTTTAATTCCTAGAGGAAATTAGGGCTTCAGCTGCGCACCTCCATTGCCTTCCGTTTACTGCCAACATTTTCACTCCGCTCCAAGTCTGACCACATGCTTTCATCTCCTCCTCACATCACCTCCTCACATGACCTCCTCCAAGTCACCCCACCCACACACTGACGACCAACTCGCCGCTTCCCTCTCAGTCGGGTTCCACTCGAGCAATGGCTTGTCTAGTGATGTCACTTGATGGTTTGTTGTCTCAGAGTATGACCAGCCAATCCATCTCCATTTCTTCCTGCTTATTTGTTGCACAATCGGTTCCTGCTGACTTGGTTCGCTGATTGCCAGAGATCTTTGTTGCTGATCTTTTCTGGCCGGCCATCTGATCTTGAGTTGTGTTGAGCGAAGGCAACTGTAAATGAAGGTCTGTAGTTTGTTTGAGATGCTCTTTATGTCGCACCAAGTCAATTATCCCTATAGTAGCATTGATTGACTTGACATTGGAGTCAAAATCCGGATGTTATTTTTGATGGTGAGTTCTATTGATCTCCTCCACACAGACTTGAGAGTAATGAAAGCTTGTCTTGCTTTTCCGATTCTCGCTTTGATATCCTTATCAGCTCCACCGGCCTGTAGTTGAAACGATGCTTCCCAGGTAGGTCAGTGGGTGAAGGAGTTTGTTTCTTTCAGGTTCCTCCCATTTATGCTGGCTGATTGTTGTCTGTTGTTGTTGTCGCTATGGCTGTTGGTGTTGGCCAGGAATCTTCATCACCTACCTCTGTTTTATCTATGTTCACTTGAAGTCCTATCTTTGATGCTTCTTGTGCCAGCTTGTTGCTTTTCACTTGCATATCTTCCAGTTTGTGGGAAATCAGACATACATATCACATCAGCGAAGTCCAGATCCTCCAAGTTCTGTTTTGTGGGAGTCCATTTAATGCCTGTTATCTCATCGCCATTGTCTGTCTCATTATCCAATCTACTGCAATCAGGGAGATCATTGGCGATAGTAGACAGCCTTGCCTCACTCCCGTCTTCACTTCTTCGAAGGCCTCCATAAGTTTCCCGTTATGGATTACTTGGTATTCAGCATTGTCGTACAACTGTTGGATGAGATGTATAAATGCCGATGGCACCCCGTAGTAGCGAATGATAATCAATTTATTCCAAACAATAATAATCATACATAATGGAAAGAGAGGATTAAAACATTCAATTATGAGGGTAATGAAAGACTGACTGATAACCTCTACTTTCTGAACATATAAATCGGGTTTCAGGCACCTGATGGAGATTACTTTGGCAAACTTGAGCAGAATCGAACTCTTTTGCCTATTGGTAATTTTTAACGACGTTGCGATGTCCATATGATACCCGTGTCAAGAAGATGCCTGGTGATGGCACTGTGTAATGCATATGTTCCCTTAAAACATGGGCGTTTTGGTACATTTAATTGAATTTTAGATTTTCCCGTCGATTGGTAGGACCGAAGTGCCCGGTCGCAGATTGACATGTCGGCTTGTTCTGTAGATGCTTTGATGATGTCTGAGCATGTAAAAATATAAGTTGATTTTCGGATGGTTACTAGCAGTGGAATCCAGGATGCACATTTTGTCATATTTGGGACTTGTCAGATGGATGTACCTGCATTACCCAGTGAGTGATGATGTTTCCACCGAGGATCGAACCCAGTGCCCACAGTTTCAAACGCCGAAGGGTTATCCACTAGACCACTTGGGTCACACGTCAATGTGAGACCGAGCACTTCAGTCGAATCAATCGACGGGATAATCTAAAATTCAATTAAATTAATATGACACGTTGCACAAGAAGTGTCTCTCGTGACCCAAGTCTACTAGGGATAGAAGATACCTGTGTAGTCGAAACACAGTATGAAACTTTACGTCTCTCTGGTTTTGTGTATAGACTGACTAAGTGTTAAGTTCTTCTACAGACTAATATCATGGATACTGTAGCTACTGGCGTCCGACGCATCTGCAGCTCTAATAGCCTGGAAGAAGAACTACATTCCCTGAAATAAATCCTCACCGATATCCACCGACATTCAAAGACATAAATACCAAACAAAAAAATCAAAGGCATGAGACACCATCCGTGCCAAATAAGACACTTTATATGAACTACAACTTCAAAGGTGACCTACTCAGTGATGTCCTTAAGAGGAGAATTTGCACTTCTTTAAGAAGAACTTTCTTCACGGCAACACTGAGAGCAGTGTTATCCTGTCACCCGCTGATTTGTAGAAGCCCAAAGGGTACATTGGTCGTTCGACGCACATCCTGTCAAAAAGGGTCAAAGAACACTATCCAGCGTGGCTACAGAAAGGTAACAATGGGCGTACGAGGAGTGCAATAATCGAACATCTTAACAAAAACCTCCTCCAAAGTGATGGACAAAGTGTAGAACAATCTACCAAAGACAGTACGTTTCCTTCTTCTATACATTACAGAACCTTGCTTATTTGTTTCTTTTTTCTAACAACTTAAACCTTTTGTATTTCTTTTAAAACTCCGTGTTTTATTTCGTTTTCATGTACACTCTAAGCACAATTCCTTCATCAAACTATTCATGTTACTACATAACTCTTCTTTAACAATCATTTGTGACAACTCGTCGCTTTTGTTACTAACCTCTTATATCAACATCCTGTTCCTCTGAACTTACTAATTGTATTTTCGTTTGGTAAATTTAATCTACACACATATACAAAACAACCATATATGTTTGCGATTGTACAGCTGTGAAAATGAATTCAACTAAAAGAGACTCTTCACTGAACTACTGGTCTTGTCTCTGTTACTGTTCGAATGGAGATTTTTCAAGAATTACCAATCCTTTATGTGGTGTTGTTTTCATTGAGTTCATTCATTCAAACTCATAAAATCACTGGTTAATAATTATAAAATTCACAAAATAATTGAGGGAAGAATAACATTTTTTGATAATTTCCTCTTCCGGCTCTACAATTATACATATGCATGTTTATATACACAAAAATTCTAGATTAGTAGTTAATAACAATATTGGTGTCTTATAAATAATATCGATTTGTAAAGTGAGATCACAATGGAATTACAGTTTATCAAAGGTGCTTAGATTATTATAATAAGAAAGATATAATAGCAAATAGAATATCAACTAAAATTATGGAAATTTCTACAAAAACTGAGGATCATTAGAACCTAGATGGCCAAGGTGAGGACAATGTTTGAAATAGCTTCTTTTGGACACAGAAACTAAGCTTCTTATTGTGGATCCCAATAGCCTCAGCAACACCTAGTAAACTAACTCTCAAGGAGAAGTTAAGATTTGTTGGTATGCGGTAAATGACCCTGAAAGCATGGTTAACGTCAATGTTGTGTTCCGTATCCACAAGATGAGATAGAATAGCGCTATGTGAATAGATTTTGTTTGTCCTTTGCTTAACCATACAGGGTGATGTTCGGTAATCCAATGAGAAACACGCCTGATTGTATGGGCTATGTAACTGGCTCCACAGGAGCAATTAAATTGGTAGATACCCATGGAAGAGGCGAAATTAGGCAGTTTGTCTTTTGCTCCCGAACGTAAAAGAGGAGTGGTTTTGAAGATACAGCGTAATTCAGATGCAGGGAATACTGTTTTTACCGCATTTGTAAGGCGTTGTGTTAGTATCTATAACTGATGTTATCCCCGAGGAATTGAATTTGTAAGAATAATGCCTTTTTAGGAACTGTTGGTACCTTGTGCTGCTTTGATTTTAGCTTCATATTCTTATCAATAAACGCTTCTGGTTAAGCCGTTTTTACTCAGAAACCGTTCAGTGTATTATTAAGTTCTTCATCAAGACATTCATCCGAGCAGATTGCTCTTGCCCTATGAACCAAGTACTTTATTACAATTTTTTTCACTGTATAAAGTGGCCTACTTCTGTTAGCTAATCATACTGTGCTTTTATATTTTCATATTCTATAGGCAGCAAAACAAGTTTCAGAAGGTAGAAATGGTGAATTAATGGCTAAAACATTTATTGGTAACGGTTTTATCGATGAAGTTGTAAAACCTGAAGAATTAGTATTCAGTGAACACTCACCGGATTATTGTAATGTAGAACCTCAAAGAGGATCAGTTGGCACTAGAGATAGGTAAGTTGAATAAAAAAACAAAAATAATGGCATGTTTTGAATGAAGCTTTTTTAGGCTATTCTATTTATTTAGGTTATTTTAATATTCCTTTATAAGGATTACGCGTATGCATTAAAAGTCTCCTCAAGAGGCTATATATATATATATATATATATGTATATATATATATATATATATATATACGTTGATTTTGAACTTGTCTTAATGACAGACAGCATAATTCATTCAACCTAAGCAACAAGCTGGCACAAGAAGCATCAAAGATAGGACTTCAAGTGAACATAGATAAAACAGAGGGGATGAAGATTCCTGGCCAACACCAACAGCAGCAGCAACAACAACAGACAACAATCAGCCAGCATAAATGGGAGGAACCTGAAAGAAACAAACTCCTTCACCCACTGACCTACCTGGGAAGCATCGTTTCAACTACAGGCCGGTGGAGCTGATAAGGATATCAAAGCGAGAATCGGAAAAGCAAGACAAGTTTTCATCAGTCCCAAGTCTGTATGGAGGAGATCAACAGAACTCACCATCAAAAATAACATCCGGATTTTGACTCCAATGTCAAGTCAGTCAATGCTACTATAGGGATAATTGACTTGGTGCGACATAAAGAGCATCTCAAACAAACTACAGACCTTCATTAACAGTTGTCTTCGCTCAACACAACTCAAGATCAGATGGCCGGCCAGAAAAGATCAGCAACAAAGATCTCTGGTAATCAGCGAACCAACTCAGCAGGAACCGATTGTGCAACAAATAGGCAGGAAGAAATGGAGATGGATTGGCTGGTCATACTCTGAGACAACAAACCATCAAGTGACATCACTAGACAAGCCATTGCTCGAGTGGAACCCGAAAGGGAAGCGGCGAGTTTGTCGTCAGTGTGTGGGTGGGGTGACTTGGAGGAGGTGGTGTGAGGAGGAGATGAAAGCATGTGGTCAGACTTGGAGCGGAGTGAAGAAGTTGGCAGAAAACGGAAGGCAATGGAGACGCGCAGCGGAGGCCCTATGTTCCTCTAGGAATTAAAGGATAAATTAATTATAATAATAAATTCGTAATACCAATATGTGATGACAGATCAATAGACTGCAGCTGATATGCTCACGCCATTAGTGAAGAAAGTTTGGAAAGAAGGAAAGAAAAGTGCCTCCTGACTGGAAGAAAGGCTACCTCATCTAGCTGCTAAAATGGGGTGACTTACGCCTATGCAAGAACTGACTGGAGTGGAAAAATGCTCTTCTCCACGCTAAGCCACATCATCGTGGGAAGAATAAAGGATGCACTGGATGCAAAACTCCGCCAACCAACCAGAACAAGCTGGATTCAGGAAAGGCAAATCATGTGCTGATCAAATTGCAGCTCTACGCATCGTCATCACAAAACAAAGCACAGAATGACAGTCAAACCTTTACTTCAGCAGCTTCATCGACTTCAAAAAGGCCTTCAATAGACAGGGTTGACCGAGAAGTAATTCGGAGATTTCTTCAACACTAGGGCGTGAAATGACCAAGTCTTCGTCAACCTCATTCAATAGCTGGCTATATAACGATGCCATGTTTCAAGTGATCCACAAGAGAAAAATCAGCGAGGCGTTCGAAGTGCATAAATGGGTAAGACAAGCCTGTCTGCCTATTATCACCGATGATATTCTCAAATGTGGTGGACTGGATTACGCTTCAGACTGGTGGGGTCGAGGAGTCAGGAATACGCTGGATGACCGATAAGAAGACTCCATGTAGAAGATCTGGATTTCGCATGTTTAATGTCACACAAACTCAAAGACTTACAGGCGAAACCTACGAACTGGCTGAAGTATCAGCCAGGTAACGAAGACAGGACTGCTGGTGAACATAGACAAGACGGAAGCGATGAAGATGACCGATCAACTGCAACAACAACCAGCATCAGTCACCATCAGCGGGAGATATTTTTGGCAGAGGGGTTACCTCCTTCACTTATCTAGCAAGCTGCGTTTCAACTACAAGAGGAACGAATGAAGATGTCAGAGTCAAAATCGGAAAGGTAAGATACGCCGTCATCAACTTGAAACCAGTTTGGAAATCTACACTCAGCATAAGGAACAAGATTTGCATTTTCAACACAAATATGAAGTCAGTTATTTCTTCTGTATGGGTGAGAAACATGCAATGCGTGTCACGAAAAGGATTCCCAGCACATTGGAGACTTTCATCAACAGCTTCGCACTTCGCTGGCTCCATAATGAAGGTGAAATGGCTGAAAAGAATACGAAACTCTGGTTAACTGGGAACAAACCAACAGGCCAGAGCCGTTTGCTCAATAAATATGTAAGAGAAAATGCAGACAAATTGGGCACACGTTGAGGAGGCCATCGAATGATATCGCGCTCGATGCAGGTCATTGCTTGAACAGGAATCCGAATGGGAAGCGATGAGTGGGTTTCCCTTGTGAAAGTGTCATAGAAGAGATGAGAAACTATGAGCAATCCTGGAGCTATCCAGCTGAGGCGGACGGCAGAAAACAGAAGAGGGTGGAGATGTGTTGTTGAAGCCAGCCCTATGTTCCACTCGGAACCCAAGGGGATAATAATGTATAATAATAGACATTTTGAGGAAAAGCATGTAAAGAGGGGGAATGAACCATACTCAACTGCTTTCTGAATGTTAAGCAAGAGAGAATTATTTCTCGAAAAAGCTACAGTGGCTATGGCACCTTAGACGGGGAATAAAGCTCAAATTGGGGAACAAAACAAGAACGGTAATGATTACAGGACCTTGCATAATCTATGATGTAAACATTTCTCACTTCATATGAAGTGCATACACAAGTTTAACGAGTAGTGATTAAAAACAAAATCCTACTAGTTTATCTACCATCAACAAAGTAATATCACTGTTTCATTGAAATGCTCCGTTTTAAGTAATCATTTTCAAGAGATGACATAATCATTTGAAAGTATTTGTTCATTCACAACCTCTAAACGCGTGACTTTGATACGAAGATCACCATTCTAACAAAACCATTATGATTCAACATTTCTTTCATCAGTGCATTGATGTTTCTCTGGTGATTGAACTGATATTTTAGGATGACCTCCACACACACGGCATTCCTTCCCTTTCTGCCTACCTATAGGCATGACTAGTAAGCTGGTTAACTAGTAGACTAAGCAAATTTTACGAAAAGCACTTCTATCTGCCTCCTCCGCTTAACAATGAAGACCAGCAGGACTGCGGAAAAGAGCAATGAACCAGAAACTCTTGCAACCAATCAGCCAACAATGTTTTCTCTGAAAGGTATGGAGAATGAAGTGGATAGAGACTCGATATACTCTGAACAGACTGTCAAATGGTATCACACGCCATACAAGCCCTTGAATAAAATCCAAATAGTAAACGACAGGTTTGGTCCACGGGATGACGTGGGAGAGATTATCTGAAGGGTAAATGGAGGCATACTGATGTCGTTATGGCCAGCTGAAAACGACTGCAGAGAGCTAAATGTGAAGGAGATGCGCTGCTGGACCTCTACGTTCTACAAAGAATCCAAGGGAGGAATGGCAACAATTATAGCGTCTTCCATCTGTACATTTTACAGTTTTCAAAAGTAATTGGCTAATTATGTTTAGATTGGCCTTAATTGACAATGTTTGAATATTTGCAGAATTTGAGAATAAGTTTATCAAACGGGATATTTTTCTTTCATAAACTTTAGTATTTCATTACTAGAGATTTTTATTTTCAATGGTTGGTTTGTAGGGATTAGATTTGTTTTTACGACTGAATCACGGATTGACATCAGTTAGAGAACCGTTGAAAACCAACTGGGAGTACTGGACTGCTGCTTCTTCCTAGTTTGGGACTCTTATTAAGCAGTACGCAGCCACCGCCAGGCTTCGAACCTAGGACTTTCCGGTTACAAGGGAAGCTTGTATAACATTCAGCCACTGGGACCCGATTTATTGGCCAGCGCATGAATTCTAACTTCTACCAATTCGTGATTTAGCGCGACCACCGACCAGTGTCATCGGCGGGAATTCCCTCCTCACACTTGACTGGATCGACCCCATTGGTCACAACTTCTCACTAGAACTCTAAGAAACTCTGTCCTGTAACAAGAGTTTCTTTGTAGCCATCATGGATTGATATCGTTTAGAGATCCATTGTAGACCACCGGGTACCAGACAACTGTTTCGTTGCCATCCTATAAGATCTTTCAACAAAAAGCAGCCTTGAATCCACTAGGAAACGAACCAACAGCGTTCAGGTTACAAGATGACCTCATTAACCATTCACCTACTGGAACGAAAACCAGTAGCCTTTGAATTTTAACCTGTGCCATTTCGTGATTTATAACGCAACTGCCAGACAGTGTCACCTGCAAGAATTTACTCTCAAATCCTACCTGTTAGACCCTGATGTTACAACTTGTCACAAGAACTCACAGCATCTTTATCCTGTTGACAGTTACTCGTGAGTATCACATTAATTTTCCAGAGTTAATCAACCAGCTTCCGCTCCTAACACGAAAGTTTCGGTTTCGATGATCCTGAAGATTCCCGAATGAGATAGACGAAAAAGTTGTTCAGCGCTGCATGATCCGCCATTGTCCTCTATCAGAGATGTTTCTCCTGTTGTTTTTTCTGACCTACATGGTTTGATTGTGCAGGTAGTGCAGTGACAGAGGGATGTTTCATAATGGCTTTCAGTTGAATACACTGGGATGATACCAAACAAAAATAGGTAAATGATCAGATGGAATATGATGTGTCATGACTAGACAGTCAGAATATACACTTTTGATTATAGGGAATCATAAAAAGACAGTTGCAGCGAGGAAAATTCTCTTTTCGACAAAGTCATAAATTAGGCTGTACATTTGTGTATTTATAGTAAATTGGTGAGAAAGTTCCTGAACTTTTCCCGGTCAAAGGAAAAATTAATAAAATTACAAAGTCTAATAAACACGTAAATTTGATCCACAATATAGTAAGGTAGATAGGTTTAACGATTTCATCATGAGCTGACATTAGTTAGAGAACCATTGGAAAACCTGGGAGTACTGGAGAGCTGTTTCGTCCTAGTTTGGGATTCTTCAGCAGTACGCACCCACCGGGTTTAAGTTGGTAAAATTCAGACCTACTTAAAAGAGACTGTTTTCACGTAAAACTGCTTCCCAAGGCTTTTTTGTTTATATATTTTTTTCTTTTCCAATAGAATATGCACATTGAAAGATACAGGAACATCAAACTGTGTGAACATGTGCTGTGGACGTGGTTACAGAAATGTTACTAAACGGGAAACTATTCAGTGTAATTGTCGGATGGCTAATGGATTCAAAGTTCAGTGTGATGAATGTAATGTTGAAACTGTAACTCAAAGGTGTTTGTGAATAAAAGCTGATAGTTAAAATTGAATTAGTTAATACTAAATGAACTTGTTCCAAAACCATAATACAATCAAATACACATAAAACTATGTATGCTATGTATACAACCCATGTTTTCAGTTTTTTCTTGTTGAATTTATAAGCTACTTAAATATTTGTAAGTAATTCTTGATAAGCAGTATAATTTTATCATATCATCCAGTCTCTAATGTACATATATATATTTATTATTGCTGAATTATGCATGCTGAGCTATATACATTTCAGTTATTATTATTATTATTATTAAGAAGACAATATGTTGACATAAATCTTACTTTTTATAAATGTATGTCACCAGAAATAAACGCCTACACAATCATGAATTTTCGTATTTTCTCACCGCCACTAAGAAGGATGCGCACATCATGGGTGAAAATAACAGCTTGGTAACTAGATAAAGATTGGACGCTGTGGTTAAAAAGACTTTTTATGCAGCTAGGGTCAGGATAACTGTGTATGTGAAGTCCATATATCCGTCTAAACCCTTAGAAAAATTATGTTACATCCTAAGCGATGGAAAATAATACGGAACCTAAGAATTTAGCTAAGGTAAGAATGGTTGACCCCGAGAAGATAAGTAATTTAGAGAAAAGATCAGCAATTCCGCTGTACACATGGACACACAACCACACAATAGGGCGGGTGGAACAGGGTTGAAATTCTAAAAAATAATATAGCTGGGTAGATCGCGAGGGAGATTGATTACTGAATCCTTGTTCAACGAGTCTACGCCAAACACATGAAATAGGAATGACTAATCACTCTTGCCGCAAATAGGACGAAATCCGCATCCTGGATTCCACTGCTAGCCACCATCCACCAATTGTATACTAATTAAATACCCAGACATCGTCGAAGCATCTGCACAAGAAGCCGACATGTCAACCTGAGACCGAGCACTTCGGTCCAATCAATCGACGGGAAAATCAAAAATTCAATTCAATAATTAATATGACCCGTTGCACAAGAGGTGGCTCTCGTGGCCCAAGTGGTCTAGTGGACAACGCTTTGGCGTTTGAAAGTATGGGCACTGGGTTCGAGCCTCGGTGGGAACATCATCACTCACTGAGAAATGCAGGTACATCCAGCTGACGAGTCCCAAATAGGACGAAATGCGCATCCTGGATTCCACTGCTAGCCACCATCCACCAATTGTATAATGACTAATCACTCTTGCCGCAAAGATGGAAAATACTACTATCAATCAAATCAAGCGATGGAAAACAATGGACCTATATAAAGTAAGTTAGAAAGTTGTGTGAATACCTTGATATGATTATGAGCAGTAATAAATTGTGCTCGAAATGTGATCATCAGTAAATATTACTGTATGACACTGTGAGACTTTATCAAAATAAATTTTACCCATAATGGAATTACATCCCATTGTGTCTACCAGTTTAAAAGTACCTGTGGTCATAAAGACGACTCTTTGATGTTTGCAAGAAAGAGCTTCAGAGCATGTCCCTTCCCAAAATGTTTACCGAAGAGAATCGGATCCGCCGAACCCATCAATGGTGAAAAAAGACGCCCTAGTTCTTCTATAGCGAAATATAGTATAAAGACAGGGGATAAATTTGATGTTCACGCCTCTGCCTATAACACGTGTTTTGCGCGTATCGTGAAACCCTAGCTAGCAACCGGGCAGTTTGAACCAACTTTATGCGTCCAAAAATAATTCGTCATCATAATATACCTTCCTTGGTAATGTTTATTTTGATACCAACACAGATGTACCATTAATCTGCCTTTTTTTTCCATTGATCCACACTGTTAGTGTTGACCTCCAATATAGTGTTTGCATTCATTCTTTCAAAGTAGGACAATCATAGTGTCAGTAAACTATACCGGGAGAGATTTTGAGTTACAGTAATTTCTAACATTTATTCTCATTTTCACAAACTTTCAAAAAATTATTTTTGCTTTCAATCTAAGTTTATATCGTATCTAAAAATGAACTAACATTAGTGGTATGAGATGCAGAAAATGGCTGATAATGTCACTATTAATGCTCGTCGTGGTTATGAATAATTAGTTCGATGTGAATCAAAAGGAAGCATCGTTTCAACTTCAGGCGGACGGAATAGACGAGGATATCAAAGCGAGAATCGAGAAAGCAAGACAAGTTTTCATTACTCTCAAGTCTGTGTGGAGGAGATCAACAGCACTCACCATCAAAAATAACATCCGGATTTTCGACTCCAATGTGAATTCAGTAAGTGTTACTTACTGCACGGATCAGAGACTTGGTGCGACATAAAGAGCACCTTAAACAAACTACAGACCTTCATCAACAGCTGTTTTTGCTCGATACTACTCAGGATCAGATGGCTGGTCAGGAAAGATCACCAACAGGGATATCTGGGAGCGAACCAACAAAGAACCGATTGTGCAACAAATAAGCAGGGAGAAATAGAGGTGGATTGACCATACTCTGAGGAAACCAGCAAGTGAAATCACTAGACAGGCCATGGCTCGAGTGGAACCCGAAAGGGAAGCGGTGAGTTTGTCCTCCAAGAGTGATCTGGAAGAAGTCATGTGGAGAGGAGATGAAAGCGTGTGGACAGACTTGGAGCCAGGCGAGAACTCTAGCAGAGAACCGAAAGCAATGGAGACGTGCGGCTAAAGCCCAATGTTCCCCTAGGAATTAAAGGAAACAATAATAATATAAATCATAGTGTGAATCAGAATGAATCTTCATATTTGAAATGAAATTCAGAGACTGAAAATAATAACTACTCTTATTTATAACATTTCGCAAACACGTAATCACATTTCCTTGCTAAAGCTCGTAGCGATAATAAGTGAATGTGAGTTACTCGTAGACAGTGGAATTGGAGTATTCAGGTTAACATTTGATAAAAAAAGGCGGCGGAGGTTGACCTAAAAGTGAACTACCCCAAGTACCTACTGAACTATTTCCATTTATTTGTACACCCAGTAGATTCGTTAGTGGAAGCAGAACAAGCCTCTTGAGTGATTTGTTGCCTTATTAATTCAGAATTTAGAACTGGTTGCACAGATGTCAGCATTTGATTTGTGTTACTTTGTGTAGTGAAACATGGTACTGACTGCTTTAAACGACGGTTTTGTGTAGAGGGAGTAGGGTTATTTCCTGAAAGTGATAACTGAGATAATGAAGTATCATTTGACAATTGATGAATTGGTACATTTCTTGTTCATGTGTGTCATGATGACGGTGCACCATTAACTCTGTAATTGCGATTAATTTCTGAAGGTTCTTTTATGGTCCTATTGGTGCTATAACGCTCCCGTAATTCAGCTAAGGCTTTTATGCTTCCATATTACAAGCGATCAATGCAGCATGTGCATCGTCTTTTTTAAAATCTTGACTCATTACATGTTTAACTAGATCATCATGGTAAGTATTCCTATATGGATGAACTTGAAGTCGATCAGATCCCTAAGTAATCGAAATTGAACCCATGTATATATATGTATATATTGGCATCTGATGTCATCTGAAGCAGAAGGCAGTTGTGCTTTTACATGCAAGTGAGTAAACAGGAGTTCCTGGGATTCCCCCAAGTAGCGCCAATCATATTGTTGGGTAAGCTATTCCACGAAACACTTCCAGTTATATTAGTAGGCGTTTCAGAAAAATTCCTACATGAAAACAAGAGATTACAAGTGTTATTTCGTAGGGATTCGATTTCTTTGTATGTAGAATGCAGACCGATATAACTTAAACAACCATAGACCATTAGGGTCTAACAGGTTGGATACGAGGTGTGAATTTATGCGATATTGGATTTCATTCCGGTGACTGAATAGTCAACAAACTGACCCTGTAATCTGTAGGCCCTGAGTTCAATCCTTCAGAAGAGCGGTAAACTAAGACGAAACAGCAGTCCAGTACTCAATCGGCTTATAAATGATGTCTATTCGCCACTTAAATCGAAAACGACAATATATTTGAGCTTAGCAAATAGCAAGTTCAAAGAATAGGTCGGGATTCAGTAGGTTAATTTTTCCTAGACTGATTATAAATTGCATAACAAATTTAAAGAAATTCAAAGTTGACAAATTCACTAAAGGCATCGGGAACAAATTAAAATTTAAGCAACAAACAAAAACATGGGGTTTTCATCAAGGGAGGTTGATTATGTCACAATTCGTAGAATGCTGAGGACTTTCAGTAGGGTGAGTGGTGTCCCAGTGGACCACATAGTTAATGTTGTTATTGATAGGCACTTGACTTCGTGGAATAAATTTGCTAGAGGGATTTTGTCTGACTTGGAGCATCCACTTTACGCTCAGCTTTTGCCTTGCATCTCCTCAGGTAGAACAAGAAGTAACTTCAGAAAACTGTATGCTCGCACGTCTAAGTATAGAAATTCTATGGTACCGTACTTAGCATGTATTTTATGTGATCAAAATAGTTTCAGACAACAATTAACTAACCTTTTTTCGTCTAGTAAATAAACAATTTTCTCCATCCATCCATCCTTATATACCTTCAAGGTTTACTTTTATTACTTCTATTATATTTATGGTCCTGTTGCTTCTTTGTTTTACTCTCATAATTGCAACCGCCAACTTATCTCTATGACTGCTGTAATCTTTGTTTTTCCCCTCACCATATCATGCAAAGAGAACATTACATTCAATAATTTTTAAACAAGCTTAGATTTCTATACCGCATCGACAATACTGTGTGATACAAGCCCATGGCAATTTTCACTTGTATTCTTATTATTATTACCTTAGCTGTTATCATTATTGTTATTTCCAATATATATGCTGCATGTTTCTGACATTACCCCTACTGTAAATGTGGAAGATTTTCTGTGTGTGATTAATTTTATTTATAATTTGAGGAAATTAGATGCAATACTGTGATAAATGCTGAAAATTCAATTCTATATCACAAGTACTGTTTTTAGAATAAAGTAAATTATTGCTATTATTATTTATCTCTTCATGCTGTAACATAGATA